GTAATTTTCACTTTTAGAATTATGTGTACTTCGTCTGTTTTTTAAAAGCATTTCAAACTATATCTGAAAATGGAATAATACTGGTTTACTCTAATTTACCGACTCTGAAACTATGATCTAGAAAGCCACCTCCCATTTACAGACAACTCTGCCTCTTTGAGTAACTGGAGAGTGCCATAAAAACAACTGTTTAGCAAAACAATGCAGTATGTTCATACATTCCACAAAATAAATGTACTGTTTTAACAAAAGAAGCATATTCACTTAAGCAATTCACAATTCTTAATAAAAAGAGCATCATTAAAAAATTACTATCCAATATTTCACATCAGTGCAGTGTGTTAAAATTTTTAAATATTCTGAATCAAAAATAGGTATACATGTTCTAGAAGAAACAAAGATACAAGAAGTAATCCTGGACACAGTGTACATGTCAAATGTCATTTCTAACATTTTTTAAGGTTTACAAGGATAGTAAATTAGATCATTATTTGTTTACTATAGTTCTTAATTTGTTCTTAAACTTTTTGATTCCCATTTACTGACACCTAGAAAGAAGAGACCAAACCTTTTGTATACTCCCAATATTTGGTTCAAATAAATAAAACCAAAGAAAACTTCCACAATTCCTGAAGCTGCTACTCTGAGAAACTAGCTTATTACAACTCCAAACTTCAGCAGTTTGTAATAATTCAATTACGTAAAAATCAGTTCACGGTTATGACTCTCTTTAAAACCTCAAATGCCCTGGCTGTGCAGGAGGAATGGCCGAGGGTGAGGCCTGGCTCCTGAGCAAGACGTCTGGACTGGAAGAGGGAGAAAGTAAAGCAGAGAAGGTGCATGGCCTCTGGTGTCCTGCTCGAGACGTTCTCCAGAGAGTGCATCAACAGATGCCATAGTCTCATCTATGACATTTATGACAGACTTAAGCCATGTAAAAGGATATAGAGTCATGTAATAAATATCTACTTACATAAAAATGTTACATGAAGACCAGTATAACATCTATAATTTAGAACATCTTAAATTTAAACAATGTACAGTAGAATACATGTTTTCCTTTCTCTCCAAAAGCAGTTGAATGTATGTGTGTGCGTGCCTGTGTTTTGGCTAACCAACCTCCATGGGAACAGGGTTCAGCAAGTTGCATTTTAATATTGTGTCTTCAGATTTCTTTATGTGTGAGCCCTGTTTATTTGTGCTTGGGGCCATTATGGTCTCTAGTCCAGTGAAAGGTAAAGAATATAAATGTTGTGGAACGTAAAAACATTGGCAATTTAGGTTTTCTGATTTAAGAAAAGGGATACCAAAGTGCTGATCTACTTGAAATATTAAAGGTGGAAAAACCTTTCAACAAGTTGTTATCAGAAATTTCACCTGTGCCTTTGGTTGTGTGGGTTGTCATGGTGATAGGAAAGCAGATGATACCCAGAGGACACATAAACTCTTTGTGAATGTTCATCTTCCTGAGTCACCTTTCTAACATGTCACTGCCGGATTCAAGTACAGTGTAATCAACTCATATACCAATAAAATCTTTCAAGATTCTGTATCCTCTTGTATACTTTGAAGTAGTCTTGACTCTAAAAACCATGGCTACAGGGTGATGGAGGCTGGTAACACTAACAGTGCCAATTATTTTATATAATTTTCTTTAGGAGTTTACAGAGGAGAAGGTAATATTATCATTTTTTCTTTATGTAGAAGGGAGGGGTAGAGTTGCCCAATTGTAATAAAAAAACTTATATGGTAACAGTCTTTAGAACAGAAGCAGAACATTTTGAAGTTTAAAAGATGGGCAATATTATCATAATGATTTATGAAGAAAATTAATATCTAAAGTTTTTTTAAAAATAAAGAACTACCAGATTAAGCATTTCATTTAGAGATACAGAGGTTATTTTTCCAATAAAAAATATAAAAGTTAACAGGTGCTTTTGATGAGGCTGGGGACTGTTGATTTCCACTCCAAACTTTTCTGTGCCATGTGATGTTTTTAATCTTGCACATAATTTAAAAGTAGGAAAAAAGCGGGAAAGATGGAACCTACCGAAGATGAAGTTGTCAGGCCGGAAGAGCTGCCCAAAAGGCCCAGACCGCACACTGTCCATGGTGCCGGGTTCCAAGTCCACCAGGGCGGCCCTGGGCACATATTTCTGAGCTAGAAGAGAACAAAGCCCACCCACAAAACGTCAATTTCTGGTTTCTAAAGTAATGGAGTTCCTCAGAGCAAGTCCCACCAGCTCAGATGCCTGGAATGTATGAAGCAGGATTTCATTTAGAATCACAGCACTGGGATTTCATTAGCACTGGGAGAACACAATTCCACCCTTGAATTGTTCAGATGAGGAAACCAGCCCAGGAATGAATGGGCAGAGGGAATTCCAGGAATAAATAAGCAGGGTGAGAAATCAGGTCTTCTGACTTCCTGCCTCCTGTATTTTCCAGTTCACCCTAACACTCCATTCCTGTTGGTCAGTTTTGCCTTTTTAGCTCCATGGAAATAAACTGTATCTGTTGAGGCAAATTGCCATGCTGCTGTGATGATCTTTCTGCTTTTTGGCACCTCCCTCACGTGCACACACACAAGGAACCCAAGCTACGGTTGTTAACACCTCATTCTAGTTACCATTCCATGGGCCATTTCCCAAGAGACACTCTCATTTATAAGTGAGTGCTTGCTCCTGTGTAGCATTTTCATTGTTAAGTACACTTTTGTGCCAGTTGGGCAATAAATTGTTCCCAGTGAGGATGAGGTTAATAGGATTGCACACAGGAAGTGCTCTTCAACTTCTGTCCAGTTATGCACACACCCAATTGAAGAAAGGATGTAACTAAGCTGGACCTAAGGGTTAACAGGAAGTGCAGTGTGTACTGGAATTTTCCTTAGAGCTATCTAGCAACTTCATCTCCTAGGCCTGACTGTGACAGACCATTTGTCATAGCTACTCAATGAATAAATCCAGTTATTTCTGTGCTTTGCTCTTGTGTGGACAGGCAGCATGATTCCAAAAACTGAATGTGATTATCTCTCAAAATATGTGTTTGGTGTAGAAGGGCAGCATCTGTTATTTCCTGGGTGCTCTTTCAGTGTCTTAGCTTTTCGTTGTTTTGAAGGGCATGTACCTCATCTATCACACACACAAAAAAACCTTACAGAAATAATGTATACATATAGCTACAATACATATGAAGATATCCAGGACAGGGGGTAATACTTTCAAACTAAGCTAAACTACAGCTTGGATTTTTACTAAAGTTCACCAGACAATTAATTACCCAGAATTGTCTAGTTTCAGTTTCCAGAGAATGTAGTCTTTTTGGAGATTTGCAAGGGGCAGAAAAATCATTGTAAGGGAGTACTTTTCAGTTTAGCCAACAACCTCCATTAGGAGGTCATCTTAAACTGGAAAGAAAAAGGCTGGACATTACCAAGTTGATTTCACAACACTAATGGGTAGTCCCGTTCAAAAGCTCAGACCCGCGCAGAATTGGGCTGTTTGAAATAAACTGACAGCGCATTTCCCCGCCCTAGCGCGAGCTAGGGAGGAGCCAGGCATCCTGCTGTGTCCCAGGTGAAATTTTCCTAGAGCAAACTACCCTCCCGAGAAGGCGAGCCCAGAGCGCCAACTCGGGTCCGGGTCCGAGTGGAGAAGACAGGGGAAAGCTGGGGTCCCAGAGCGCGATGGCCGTGGTCCGGCGGGGAAGGGCACGGTCCGGGAGTGGGATGGCCGAGGCGGTGGCCGCGGTCGGGTCGGGCGATGGCCGGGATCGTGGAGAGGACTGGCGGGCTCCGGAGGGGAAGGGCGTGGTCGCGGGAGGGAACCATGGGGGGGGGAGGGCGGGGTCCCAGAGGTGGCGGGCAGGGACCCGCCGCTACTCACACGATGACTCATTGTAGTAGACGTTGATTCTCTCTAGTTGCAACGCGGAGTCACCTACGTAGCCTCCAGCTGGGTCGATACCGTGTTCATCGCTGATCACTTCCCAAAACTTTATGCAGGACAAGCAGGGGTGACACAGGGTCAGAACCCGGAGCTCCAGGCGCCTCCCCTCCACCCCCGCGGCTAACCCCAGGGCTGGCCCGGCCGCGAGGGGCGAGGGGCTGGGGGCGCGCGTCCGCCGCTGCCGAATTCCAGGCGCGCCTGAGCCTCCCGCGGCCGCTCCCAGCTAGAGTGGGGTGAGGGCCAGGGGGTCCTGGGTTGTGACGCCCCCGCCTCTGGGGGTGCCGCTCCTCCAGCCCTTCCTGGGTGCGGCGCGGGGCAGTACTTGGCTCCAGGGATCGAGGGGCACAGAACCCGCACCGAGGGTCCAGCCCAGACGCCCCAGGCCTGCAAGCTGCTCGCCCGCAGGGAAGCCCAATGTCCGCTCGCCCCTCGCCCGACCCACCTTGGTGCCTATCTGGTTCCCGCATTGGCCCGCCTGGATGTGCACGATCTCCCTCATGGCGGGCGCGAACTCTGCGCTGCCGGACCTCGCTCTTCTAACCGCGGAGGCTACTGAGGGCCAGCCGCACGCTCCGGGGACTCGACCCTCCTCCCGCCCTCATTTCCACCCCCCCGCCGCTGCCCTGACCAATGGCTGCGGGCCTCGCCTTCCCCCTCAGCGTCCCCTCCGCCCCAGCGGTTCGGGGCCCCTCCCTCCGCCCCTCCCTGCTCCCCCCTCCCGCTCGTCGGCCCCCGCCCCTGGCCGCAGGAGTCCCGGGCCCAGGAGTCCCGGGCCCAGGAGTCCCGGCCCCGGCGCCAAAGCCCGCCCCCCGCAGCCTGCAGCTCGCTGTTCCCAGGGTCTTCCTCCCGGGGCCGCCTCGACCCTGCTGGTTCCCAGAAGGGAGGACTAACCAGGAACAGCCGAAGGACCCCTTGTGCAGGCAGCCAGGCCGGGAAGTGAGCGGCTCCCTCGAGCGTAGAGTGGGAACTTAGTCGGGAGGGAGAAGGAAAAGACGAACGGCTCCCGCCCCTCCCCCACCCCATTTTGCTTCCTCGGTTGCTGATCCTCCCGGGAGGGAAACTGGAGACCTCTCGCCTTCAGACCTCCTGAGACTGGTGTCAAGAGTCGTCCCCCCCCCCCACGCCAGCCGCCAAGGGCGGGCGGGGTCCCACCCAGAGCGACTTTGGATAGGTCTCGGGACCGCGCGGGCCTAGCTGGGTGCACACGCTTCCCGCACGATCCGCGAGGTCGAATTACGAAAGCTGAGTTTTTCACAGTGACTCTGACCTCCCCCTTCCCCCTCACACACTCACTTCACCGCCCTCCGGGAGCCTTTCCATCTGCAACTACAGGTACCGTTCCATTCTGGTGACTCTGAGCCATTTGCAAAGGGCTTTGGTTGAAGTAAATACGTCCCGGGATCTGAAAGTGAACAACCTCCTGCACTGTGGTCTACGCAATCTCTCTGGAGTTAGTGATGGAAAGCGCTTTGCCCCTAGGAGGGCTCAGAGGGCTGGGCTCTAGCAGGCCATTCCCTCACCTTCCCTAGTCCTAGATGTGGGACTTCGTTTTGCCGTTGGCAGAGAGGCGTGCATGTGTGGATGTTGGATAAGTGCAATGCTGGAGGAGTGAGGACGATAGGAGGACAGTTTAATCCTACGCAGCTTGTCTTGCTTGTACAGAAAGGTGGGGGGATTCCCTGCAGAATGAACAAAGCTCTCCCTGGGAACTTGGAGATAATTCTGCTTTGCAAAGCATGGCGAGATATATATATATATATGTATAAAATCTTATTTTTAATGACACGATGCAGCCCTGACCTCTCTTTGAACTCCACCCTTTTCAGTTCCCAGTATTTGCTGGGAAGGCACTCCAGCAGGTAAATAAAATCTTCATTTGTTAGTGGCTTGTGTCTAGGGCCCTCTAGGTTCTGGGCCCCCTACCCTCCATGTGCAGTTGCCCTCTCCCCACCACACACCTGGGCCTTGCTGATGTTAGGCGTCCCAGAGGCATATTCCAAGACTCAAACACCTAGAACTCTCTCCAGTATGCTCCTATGGGCAACTCCAGCTGGCAAGGCTCACCCACTTGGCCACTGAGGCAAATAATGTATGCCAGGTACACTGTAAATCCAGATTCCTTCTAGGCATGAATTTGGTCTTTAGGGAGCAATAGTTCCTCTCCCAGGTCTTGTGTGGTAGAAAGGAATGACCACTAGATGGTGGTGAGTCAGGGTGACATGGAGTTCAATTCCACTCTTTCCAACTGGCTCTGTGTTAAGACACTTGAATTCTCTGGGATTCCGTTTACTTATTGGTAAAATGAAAGGATTTTCCTAAGGGACTTGATTCTGTGGAACCTTCAGTCTGAATGTGACCACAAAGACTTTTGCATGTGTTTTCCCATGTGAACACTTCAGGTGAGGAGACTGTAAACCTGGACTGCATCCCCTTCCAGACGGAGGGTTCTACAATTTGCACCAGCGATTTCTTTTTAGATATGCAAAAACTTTGGGGGAAATCCTAATGAGTGTGTATGTGGTTGGAAAGAGGTGAAGAACTTTTAAAAAAATTTCGGAGTTTCTCAAATGTTTCTAATTTTAGGTATTAATTCTTTAACCTCTGGATTCCTGCCCCACCCCCTCTCACTCCCCTTCTGTGCTGCTTTTATGCCTTCTTGTAAGTCCCCAAGTCTCTATTCACAGGACACTCCCAGAGAAGCAAGTGAGGCCAGAGCCTCACCCATGCTACCCTGGCAGACTAACAGCCTGAGATGACCCAGTTTAGACACATCCTAATTGTTCAAGTACATGCTCTCTTCATCAATCTACTGGTGCAGGGGAGTGGTGGGCCTATGGTTCCTCAGAGCATCTTTCCTCAGCTCTGGTCACTCAGTCCCTGAGAAATCAAGCCACCAGGCAACAACTTCATAGTTTGCTGAAATAGCCACATTTTCAATACTAATCATTGAGCGGGAATTTGAATCCAAGGTATCAATTCAGAATGTAGTGCCAGTGTGGCTTAAAGAATGCTGCTATAATCTGGACTCACTGGGGGAAAGTTGATTTATTGGAGTTTCAAGTGGACACTCTGTTGACTGGCACCCCAGCCTACCCACCCACACCATGGCGGGGGTGGGAGGTAGAGGGTTGGGGATGGATGTGCCTAAGGTGACTAAGGCTCAGTGTTACATTCTTTTGTACAGAACTTATGAAATCATCACAGTGACCCTCCAAGGTAGATATTATTGCAGATGATGCAACAGAGGATCAGAGTGGGCCTTGTCACCTTGCTGGCAAAAAGGAGTGAAAAGACTCCAACAAGAGTCTGATACCTGTCTCTTAATATTGATGGGACCAGAGCAAGAGTAAATGAATGTCTAAAGATAAAGAAGTTAAAAGTCAAGCTTACAAAAATCAGAGACTGCGTTCCCATCTGCAGAGTGGACAGGAACTATCAGCTATCTGTCTGTCCAAAGACAGACATTCCTATCTGCAAAGCAAGGCTCCAGGTAAAGACTCTCAAACACCCTGGGGATTTGCATGAAGTGTAGCCATGGGGGAGGGCTGACCTCCAGCCCCAACTTTCAGCTCATCCCCCTTTGTCCCCCTCCAGCCCTCACTCCAACTCTACATTACACTGGGAAGGGCCCCTGTGGACATCCCCGTTCTTAGCCCAAGCTCATCCTCCCCACCCACACAGCAGACCACCTGTTGGTGTGCATCGATGTCGCTGTCATCCACAGGAGGAATACACCCTGGAATCAGATTCAAGGAGTTTGGGCAGAGAGTCCTGAGGTCCTGGGTGCGAAAGCAGTGGCATGGGCCCTGGGGGGCCATATCCCAGCGGCTCTGTGTTTGGGTCTGAGGGTGATAACAGGCCTCCAGTTCTGCGGCATTGGTGCTCTCCGCAGCACGTGGCCTACGCCCTCCTGGCTGCTGGCTTCCCACCTCCCCCAGCCCCTCATCTTCTGTGCCCCTGATCACATTTCATTTCTCTTCAGAATGCCCCTCTTCTGCTTCCTCCACAATCATCCACCTGGAGTGAGGACTCTGGGATCCCTGCCGAGGTCTGGATACAGGTATTGAAAAGCATTCAGAATGTAGGAGATAGGAGCCAAGTTTCTGCCCCTTTCTCTGTTGCTGTGACAGAAGAGTTAAGGTCCCACTCCTCTCCAAATGCTGAGAAGTCCCTGAGGGACCAGGACAGGCTGGTGATGGCCACCATGGTTTTATTTTCAACTAAAACCCCAGATGTTGAATGTAATGATATCTGATCATTGTGCTTTTTATGTTATCTGACTCTTGGTGGAGAGTGTGGGTTCTTGGGAGGTGAGAGGCCATTCCACCTGTCAGCTGTGCAGGGAGAAGCAGGTGCTGGCACAGGAAATGGAGACTGAACCATGCTGTGGGAGGGGTGTGCAGTTATTCCACCCTCTGAGTATTGCCACCTGGGCTCCAAGCTCTGTGATGAACTCGCAACTGTCTTGTTTCGTGGGGTGAGCAGGCCCTGGCAACACAGCCACGCCCAGGGCAAGTGGGAAACCAGGGCCAATGCCAGTGGTGCCTGAAGGTAACTTGGACTCATACACTCAGGTCACTCCACCCAAGTCCTCATTTTACAGGGAGAAGAGTCGGTTGTACGGGTGGCCTGCAGACCTCTTAAATACCAACCTGTGTGTAGTGCAGTCTAGGTAAGTATATTTTCTTGGTTCCAATTCTTTCGAAAAATGGTATTTTATGATAGTACTGAAATATTGACCAGCCAGAACACCATGCTCACGGAACAAGTGGACATGAGAGTAACACCCATTCCGGAGGGTCTGGAGTGGGTGTGGTTGTGGCCTACCACAGTGTCAGGCCCTCTGGGAAACAGGCCTGCTTCTGTCCTTCACATGCTTTAGGATGAGCCAGAGGCTTCCTGCCTGCTCCCACCTCTTATGTGTAGCACAGAAGTCATAGAGCTTCTGATGTCTGCGGTTGTCATGGGAATTAGATAAGATAGCCTACACTGCAGGCATGCTGTGAACTCGCCAGGTGGCCCAGAGGTTACACAGACAAAAGGGGACCTTCCGGTGCTCTCCCTGACATCTGTAGGGCCTGGGATGAGTGTACCAATGGAGGCCCACCTTGTTTATCACTGTATTTAAGTTATCGTGTAATATTTATCCTCCACTTTAACCTTTGTACCTTTATGACACTCTGGAAAGCCAGGTTTGATTTAGAATTTTCTGATGCCACGTGACAGAATTCTCTGCAAGATGTGACAGAATGGGGCAGCTGGCTCCAGCCTTGACCTGACCCTCTTATCTTTGCTTTTGCAGCTGCACTCTGCACCAGGGGACCTTGTATGACTCTGGTACACACCTGAGACAGGTGTGTGCACTGCTAGGGAGGCCACAGGAGAGGAGCTCCAGCCCATGATACAGGCCAGCCACCTGGGTAGTGGCTGTTATGGTTCAGCACCCAGAGGGAGGTCTGGGAGGGAGGCACAAATCCCTTCACCCAAGGAAGACACAGTCTGTGGGGAACATGCTAGAGGAGAATCCAAGGCTGATGGAGCCCCTGAATGAGGGCTGACAGGAATGTAAGGAGGTACAGGCTCTCATGGGACCCTGGGAGCTGGGTCTCCCTTTTTTTAAACATTTCATCATTTTTTAATTTTTGCAGAAAGACCTATTAGTCCTTGTAGAAAATATTTGCTTCCCTTTAAAAATAGAGTCTTATGACAAGCTCTAAATTATGCATAAAATAGCCATAAAAACATAAAACAGTATACCTTTCCCAAATGCATATTAAGGAATTTACGCTGTAGTAACTAAATAGATTGCACTTACAGGCCAGGAGATAAAGGGTAAGGAAGGAGAAATTGAAGCAAAGTGTGTTTGTTGGGATAATTTTGATCAAGATAGCAAGAGGAGGAGCCAACAAAGCCACAAAATATCCTATATAAAAACACATTAAAAGGGATTTTGTAAACACATTCTTTGTAACAATGAAAAACAGAAGTCTGGTTCCTCCCTTTTGCACTCGGCTCCATGCTCACCTCGTTGCTGGAAGGCAGTGCTCCCAACTCAAAACTGTTGATTAATTTTCTAATTCTGGGGCTGAGAATTATGAGCATTTTTCTTTTTTAAAAATATATTTTCTGTGATGATGACATATCATCACATCTGTCCCATTTTTTTCTCCTCTGTACTCCCCTCCACCCTGCACCTCCCCTCCCACCATCATTCTGCCACCTTAGTTCATGTCCATGGGTCGTACATGTACATTCTTTGGCTTTCCTATTTCTTACACTATTCTTAACCTCCCCCTGTCTATTTTGTGCCTCCCATTTATGCTTCCTGTTCTCTGTACCCTTTTCCCCATTCTCTCCCCTCCCCCACCCACTTGATAACCCTCCATGTGATCTCCATTTCTGTGTTTCTGTTGCTGTTACAGTTGTTGACTTAGTTTTTGTTTTTGTTTTAGGTTCAGTTGTGAGTTTGTTGTCAATTATGGGCATTTTTCACTTCAAATGTGACCAGGACCATGAATATAATTTAATTAAGCTGTGACAGGAAGGTGGGTCACAGCAGCCACGTGGGATGTCGTGCTCTGGTTATTGCTCATTGAGGCATCACCTAATTTATCTCCATGTCAGTCACTTATTCCAGGGGGTCTTAACATTAAAGCCACATTGGAACTAAAATCCCCAACCGTGACAAGAGGAGCTTCCATTTCTGTGGTTGGTTGGGGGGGTGTCTCAGAAGAAGTGTGTATTTTGAGGAAGTTCTCAGGGGGGTTCGACATGCTTCCCAGTTTAAGAACCATGGTGTTTTTCCCTCCATATGAAGCCCACATTTATTAAGTGTCTACTATACACCCTGAATTACCCTTTCCTCAGCCAGACCCCGCCAGAGTGTTTCAGATAGCAGCAACAGGTATAGAACCGGGGCATAAAGCTCCTGACTGAATTACAAAGAGGCAGCGTGCCCCCATCTCCAGACAAAAGATACTAAGCTGTTCCACTGTTGACTAAGTACAGGGGCAGATGCAGCGTCATAAAAATGGTAATCTAGTAGCTAAGATACTAGCAAGTCTGTTAATAACTTCTGTGGGCGACTGTAACTGGAAGCCCCAGACACAAGACACAAGTTCTTTTCCAGTGCCTCCATCAGGTGCCACCCACTTCCTCAGATCCTTCATAGGCCATTGGGGGAGGGCAGGACCCCCCACAGGTCTAGGCAGAGTTTAACTCTCTTGGGAAGGAGAGGCTGGGTTCTGTGGAACTGCCATCAGTGGTCCAGGAGGCCCAGGCTCATGGGACTGACCAGGAAAATAGGGAATGTCCCCGAGGCCCACCACAAGGGTAACACCAAATAACAAGGCAAAGCACAGAAAGAGACCCTCTCCATGGCACGGCTACGCAGGGACGTGAAAGCTGAGGAAGGAGCAGAACACTGAGAAAACCCACCAGCATATGTTCACACAGTGAAGCAGTGTTCTGCAATAAAAGGGAATGGAGCACAGGTACGTGCTACAACGTGGATGAACGCTGCAAACAGTACGCTCAGTGAAAGAAGTGAGACCAAAAGCACACAGTACGTGATTCCACATATGTGAAGGGCAGAAAGTGGATTAGTAGTTGTCAGGTCTGGAGAGGATGAGGAGTGGAAGGTGACGGCTCAGAGGAGTGGGTGGGGCTCCTTCTTCGGGTGATGAAATTGTTCTAAAATGGATTGTGGGAATGGATGCCCAGCTCTGTGAATATGCTAAAAACCTGTGAATTGAACACTCTCCGTAAGTGAATTGTATGTTAGGTGAATTATATCTGAATAAAGCTCTTTAGAAAACGGTTCTGGAGGTATTTGAAGCTGTGGTGCCCTGAGGGTAACTATAGCAACAATAAAACTGAAACCAGTTCAACCACTGACTAGGTTAACAAACTCTTACACTAATGTTTGAAGAAGGAAGCATGCCATTCCAGGCACAAATATTATTTCCCTCAGTCTCTACAAAAATTATACAAAAAGGCAAGGAAAAAAAACCAGCCCATTTTAAAGAGATAAAGCAATAAGCAGAACCAGACCCAGACATTGGCCTAGATGTTGAAACTATTAGATAAGGGCTTTAAAATAGCTATGATTACTATATTAAATATTTAGTGAAAAAGATGGACAACATACATGAACAGATGGGGAATTTCATCCACGAGAGAAATGGGGGGGGCATAGAATGAGCTTTAGGCAGAGGGCTGTGCAGTAGTACTGTAGGGGCTCGACTCATCACAGGAGCACTCTTCATCAGGAAGGGTGTTGGTAATTACTTTTGAGTTACTGTCATGAAAATTATATGAGAAGTAAGACACAAACTACAGAAGTATATTTTAAAATGGAATTACAAGATAACGATTCAGGCACTCCCATTCTAGCAGCTGCTTAGGCTGCCTGGAGACACTATGCTCTGGCGCCCACAGCCCCTCCACCAGGTGTGGCTGAGCTGAGCATCTGGGCAGGACCAGCCTTCTCAGTGGGCAGAAAGGGGTGCTGTGGCCGAGGTAGGATAGTAAGAAGCTAGGAAACTTCCTTAGCAAGTGGAATGGGGGAACTGAGACAGACAGCTCATTCAAACTGGTCTCCTCCAGCACCCGGACACACCTGCCTCCTCCCTAGCACAACCACTCCCTTTAACATTAAGCTCTCAGGGCAATGAGATTCTTATTTGCATAAAATAATCTTAGGAACCAAGCCTTGGGTCTGTTGACTGCAGAGACAGAGATTTGGTCAAACTGGAGATAACATCTAGGCCTCAGCTGTTTTTCAGTACCAGACACAGTAAAGCAGGAAAACCAGATGAAGTGATGCCATGACTAACATCAGGACCACATGCAATGACCAATGACCTGCCACCCTAGCACCAACCAATCAGTAAAGACCATGACCCTGACACTATAAGATCTTTTTGATGAACCAGTGTATTATAGGGCACACCTAGAAAGCTGATGACTATTCTATTGAGATCCTCCCTGGAGACTGCCCCTAAAATTCATATCTTTATAAAACATAAAAATCCTTAAGACAAAGGACTCGGCATTCTCTCTCTCTCTCTCACTGAAGCATGCCTGCACCTTCTCTCTTCAGGTCTGTATCTTTGCTTGCTTTCTCCTGAGCTCTAAGCATCTCCACAAGACTTACAACCAGGGTAGCAGTTGGGAGCAGCAGCTTGTCCCAGACTAATCCCTCAACCTGTTTCTAAGGGCCCCTTTTTATGCCTCTGTACTTGTTTCCTGAGTCCACACAGCCCAGCTGGCTCACTTCTGCCATCTTTCTAAAAGGCCAAAGCAGCTCTCTGAGTGCCCCATTTGAATCTGCTCTTCTAGTGTGCTTTCATTTTGCATGCTAAATGAACTTCCTCTTGTGCATGAGTTCTTGGTTCTGAATTCTTCCTCTGCCAGGGTTGAGAACTGAGAGCGAACACCGCAGGTAACATAGTTATTGAATAGCTCCCAAGTAGCTCCCTCATTCTGAACCGTCCTGCTGCTGAACTGTCCATGGTGTCCTGAACTCAGTTGTCAGACACAGATTTCTGTGGGTTATGAGAATTGATGGAGAAGGGAGTGCTCTCTGGTCAAATATTCATACCAGGTGACACAGCGTGCTCTGAGAATGAGTGAAAGTAATTTTTTTGACTTGATGAGGCTGAAAGACCT